TTCAATAGAGTTTTTGTTCTAAAATGAGGCCAGAGGGTTGTAATAATAATAGTAATAATACTAATAATAATAATAACAATAGTAATAATAATAGTGTGAAATATTTTTTACTACTTTTTAATTTTGGATATGCTCAAATGTGCTTCGCAATATTGAGCAGGGAAAGAAATATTTTAAATCAAACAGATATTAACAATCTCATCTGGCAGAGGTCAGTTTGCTTTTCACAAAGTCAAGTGAAGTAGAATTCGGTATGTTGATAACTACACAAGGTGTAATTAACATTGATTCAAAAGAATTACTTGTGTAGCGCACAAAAAAAATGTTGTCTGTTTGAAACGATTGCCTCCTTAAAACGAATTTTTTTTTAATACATTCAGATTTCAATACTTCACTGACTTTTTTAAGATGCACCCAAAAATGCATAGAAAGCTGGTGCGTAGAAACAATAGATACGGAGTCCTTAAAAGGACAGATCTTATTGATTTGTCCATTAGTTGTTGCTGATGTTGTTAATATTGTAAGGAAAGTGAGCAAATGTGTTCCTGACTCACTTTAAATATTCTTAGAGCACTGGATTCCATGTTTTTCTCAAGGCAAACTACATTTTACGACGAGTTCTCGTGAAACAATCGCGTGCCATTTCTTTGTAAACAGGAGCGGCTTTTTTAAGCAAAACGTAAACCGATATCTAAATTCAAAATAGTTAGTGTTTAGTACTGATGTTCACCTTGCAAAGCCGCACTAGACGACAAGCGCTCTCTCTAGGCGCTCCTACAAGATGTGACGTAGAGTTAAATTGGGAGCTAGTGAAGACAAAAATTGAAAAATCATCAAATCCGAATAAAGCTACTGGACTGGACCTAGTTTCACCCAAGGACCTTAAACTCCTTGGGGAATCTTCTATCCATAGCCTGATACCAGTTTTCAAGAAAAGTATAGATGATTCAGTTTTTCCAACAAACTGGAAACTCTCACGTGTTAAGCCAGTATTTAAAAAGGGAGCACCCACTGATATGAGCAACTTCAGGCCCATATCTCTCTTAAGTATTCCAGGAAAGATTCTTTAAGACATTATAAGCAATAGCATAGACATTCACATTGAAGCTCAAAACCTGCTTAGTGACAATCAATGGGGCTTTCGCAAGAATCATTCTACAGAAGGTCTCCTTCTTCATCTTACTGACACTTGGAAGTGAGCCCTAGATAATAATATTAAAATTGGTGTACTGTTTATTAACTTCAGGAAGGCCTTTGACTCGGTGAACCATACCATCTTATTACAAAAGTTGAAAGCTGTTGGTATATCAGGAAATTTACTATCTTGGATGGGAAGCTACCTGCTAAATCATAACCAATTTGTTCAAGTTAACGAAGTGAAATCAGACACTAGCTCTATCATGTTTGGAGTACCACAAGGGTCAATCTTAGGACCCAAACCGTTTTCTCTTTATGTCAATGGCTTTCCTGAATTTGTAACCTCAGGAGAACTTTATATGTTTGCTGATGATACTACCATATTTACAGTAAGTGATAATATAGATATTATAATTAAGGCTATGCAAGTTATACTGGATCAAGTTAGTTGATGTGGTGCTAACAGATTGATTGCTCCTGAAACTAAGTCAGAAGCCTTATTATTATCTAAACAAAGATTCATTGGTCCATTGCTGCCTTTGAAGTATGGGGAAAAATTTATTGAATTTAAATCATCATGTAAATGTCTAGGAGTAACTATAGACAGTAAGCTTTCTTGGCAAGAACACACCAAAAGTCTGTTAAAATCTTTTAATAAGAAAATAGCAGTCCTCCGAAGAATTAAATTCTTGCCATCATCCATTCTTCAGACCATTTATTTTAGGACTGTACTTCCAAGTGTCTTGTACGGAATACTAGTATGGGGTTCCTGCTCACCTGCACTAACGGATGATCTTGAGCGTGCTCATATACGAGCTTCTAAACTTATTTTTAAACTTTCAAGGAATTGAAAGGCTGGAACAATTTATCTTTTTACTATATTAAGAGACTGTTAGTAGAAGCATATAAATCCTACCATAGATGCAATACCAATGTTTTAAATGATCTAGTAATGTTAAAACAATCATCTCACTGCCTGAGGAAATCAATGAATATTGAATTTCCAAGTCCTAAAACAGAAATTGGCAGGCTGACTTTTAAGCATAGAGCTGCCATTGCATGGAATTCACTTCCTGATTCAATAAAATAGTCTTCTGGCTTAGAATGTTTTAAAGAAAAGACTTACACCTAGCAAGGACTTAATTAATTCCATAAGCTATAAGAAGGAACCTTCCATGATAAGAAATAGGAGTGAGGAATTTCTTTATTAATCTTATCTTAAATTGTAGTTCATAGTTTTATATTTGTATTATTACTATTAATTATTATTTAACTCAGATAGATAGTAGATAGATAGTACATAAGGAGGTCCACATCAGGACTTCAGTCTTGCGTATTCTGTAACCTGCGTTACCAAATAAACTATGTATGTATGTTTATTGAAACCAGACTTCCCCTTCCAAGTACCTTAAAGTGTCCAGTCTATTTTCGGCTTGGGTGACGCGCTCTCTCTAATGGCATGTCAAGCTGATAACTGGCTCTGTAGTCTCCGCCATTTTAATTCTCCCAGCAACCTATGCGCTGCTAACTAGTTTCCATGCTTCGAAGTTAAAAGCGGGACAACATTTTAGGGTTTCTCTTACCAAGTACGCCCATGCTATCTGCTATTACCGAAAAATTTCCTTTATTTTAGCTTGAATTTACCATTTCTTTCCACAATGCAAGCAGGTAACCAGTCAATAGACACAAGGTGGAATTTTTCGGTCGGTACGGATCGGAAAGAATGCAGGGCCATAATGATAATCTACTCCACGAGGGAGAAGCATGTGCACGGTGTTTTCAATGAAGCGGTCGCCCGGTTTCACTTTTCAGAGTGAACATTCTTAAATTTTTTTTTTTCGCACAGATAAATTTCTCTGCATACTTTTCAGCAGGCTCGTATGCGTGTTGTTCTCACGTGCACTTTGGTCACAGGACAAAACTTAAGTCACGTGATCAAATGTTTCTGGCAGCCATTAATGCATAATTAATGTCTGGGGTTATATGGAACTCTTGCCAATGGCTGTTTTAGTAAGAAGATGGAAGAGTATACATTGTCATATTTCCTCCATCAGGATTGTCTACATGTAGGAGTTACCCATGCCCGCACAGGGGCAAGACAGGTGCATGACTATTTTCACATGGGGTTTATCTTGATGATCTGATACTGTAGGTTTTATGCAATTCAATATTTATTATATCCTGATGATAATACACAGTGTCAACCCTTTTATCACCTTTTTCATCATTAAATACAAGACAAAAATTTTGTTGAAACAGATAGCTGTGGAAAGAGTTCCATATAACCCCATACATTAATTATGCATTCATTTCATAAAGACTAAATATAGACTGAGGTTTCTTTGCAACACTCCATGCATAATTAATGTCTGGGGTTATATGGAACTCTTGCCAATGGCTGTTTTAGTAAGAAGATGGAAGAGTATACATTGTCATATTTCCTCCATCAGGATTGTCTACATGTAGGAGTTACCCATGCCCGCACAGGGGCAAGACAGGTGCATGACTATTTTCACATGGGGTTTATCTTGATGATCTGATACTGTAGGTTTTATGCAATTCAATATTTATTATATCCTGATGATAATACACAGTGTCAACCCTTTTATCACCTTTTTCATCATTAAATACAAGACAAAAATTTTGTTGAAACAGATAGCTGTGGAAAGAGTTCCATATAACCCCATACATTAATTATGCATTCATTTCATAAAGACTAAATATAGACTGAGGTTTCTTTGCAACACTCCATGCATAATTAATGTCTGGGGTTATATGGAACTCTTGCCAATGGCTGTTTTAGTAAGAAGATGGAAGAGTATACATTGTCATATTTCCTCCATCAGGATTGTCTACATGTAGGAGTTACCCATGCTTGCACAGGGGCAAGACAGGTGCATGACTATTTTCACATGGGGTTTCTATATATATGGAAGCCATTGCCCACCTCACAATAACAATAATTAAACTCATAGTCCATTGCAGGGTTCCCTCCCCCCTACCAACCAGTACCCATATTTACACCTGGAAAAGGTGAAGCACTTTGAGTTTACAGTATCTTTCCCAAGAACATAATGAAATGCTCCAACACTAGACACCAAAACTGGACTAATGTCCAGTCCAGTGCACTAACAATTCAGCCACCATGCCTCCTCCTCTGATCCTTATGATTAGACTGTAGTGAATGGGGTCAATTGGGATTAGGGTAGAACCCTCCTCCCAGTTAGCTCAGTTGGTTAGAGTACCACTGGATTGTGATGTGCGAGAGGTTGAGGATTCGAGCCCCGGCTGGACCAATACTCATAGTCTTAAAATAACCGAGGAGAATTTGCTACCTTTCTATAATATCAAGAAATGGATAGATATTCTAGTCTCCTTGGATAAGGATGAATAAACTGTAGGCCCCATCTCCTGCAGGGTTAGGGGTAGGAGATGTTAATTTCCCATGCATGAGATTACTGTGTGGTGGATGTCCTCCCCTGGGTTGGGATGGGTGGGAAGGTGAGATTGTTACATGGACTGAAGCAGCTGCCAGAGGCGCCTGATATGCTGACGTCCAATCTCAGCCTTAAGTAACAACAATATCTAATAAGCACTATTGATCAGCACATGTAAATATGCGCTATATAAATTGGTAAATTATAAATTATAATTATAAACCCTTATAAAGTTGTGCAACCAATAGCGACTTAAGACGACTTAAAGCGACTTAAGGCGACTTTAGGTGACTTAAGGCAACTTAAGGTCCCAGAGTAGACCTCTTCATTTAAATGCAATGTTTTTTCAAATTTTGTTAAAACAGCCTGGAATACTTCACAGTACCATGATAGACTCATAAAGATGAATTGTTAGTTACAACTTATGGTTTTTGTTGTGGTGACATCATATCTTTCCTCTGTGACATTCGTCAAAGCACTTGAGAGTGTGGCAGTCAGCACAGAACATACAGCGACACCAGTCATTATCCATACTACAGAAAACAACCTGCCAGCTGTTGACTTTGGGGTTTTATCGCCATATCTATATTGTACGACATATCAAAACAACAATTAGGTGTTGATTTTGATTTTCTCCGGATCCTGGACAAGCAAGCATACTGAATGTTAAGAGCATTCTCTCAGCAAATACATTCTTTCTTGGGTTATCTTTTATTTTTAATTATATTACAAAAAATAATGATTTTAATTATGATAATATTAAACATGAGGAAATTCACTTCCACAATACAAGAAATAAATCTATGTTTTCTCTCCCTACAGTAAAAACTAACTGGGGGAAATCTAAGTGGGCTTATATGTTTTTTAATGAATGGAACTCTTTAAATGGATTGAAGACATTGGTAAATTATAGGACTTTTAAGAAACAATATTTTAATAATATATAACCTCTTCTTTATGTCCATTAATATTATATTCAGTTTTCATTAACTTATTTCATCTATCAATTCTATTCTTTTGATGTATTTAGTTCTTACTTCGAATATTTTACAATTATTGTTGTAATTAACTTATTTTTATATGGAGGTCCCATACAGGGACCTCCATATAAAAAAAAAAAAAGAGCCAACTCCCTACTACTGCTGTTTAGTTGTTTTGAATTGCAAGGAAATTACATAAGTACATGTGTTTCTGGAGTTCACAGTTTCGGGGTGTCACAGTAACAGTGTGGACAAAATACTTTTGTTCCATGAAAGTAACAAAAAGTAGTCCTTTGTAAAAGTTTATCAGCATTCTGATTTTTTCCGAAGATGAAAAGCTGCACAAACACGAGTCTATTGTAAGGTGTAGTAAAACACAATTCATAGAAATAAACAGGGTATTGATTTTCTTCGAAAGCATGGTATGCCACAGTTTCGCTAGGAAAAAAGTTGCATAACGGCTTAAAGGCATTGCATGACAAAGGGAGAAGATTTGAACTTCCAGCGAAATAAGAACAAGGGTAAACTGGCTGGGAGAGTACTGCTCGAAGACACCTTAAATAAATATGGCCTTTCAAGAGATATTTTCATCCTGCTACAAAAGCTCAACTAAGAACATATGTGCTAAAATTTGTATTATGAACTTCTGCGTCACCAGTAAGCTGCTTTTGAAGCTCTAGCTCCCTCGTTTCTTCACTAGTCACGTTTAAATGTTTTCCTCAAAAGCGACGGCCTCTTCCTCGGTTGCACGTGGCTCTACTTCTTCATCGCACGGAGCGCGATATATCCAATATTTCTCCTCAACACAACAACAATCATTCATAGACCCCTCATGGGAAGAAACAGAACCATTACTGTCGTTGAAAATAAAGAACAGCGACGATTTTCGAGCAAGATCGCCACTGAATTTAATATTTACTTCGACAGAGACTCGATGAAACACAGGCAGCCCAAGCTCACTACGAGAAAAGCGGACGTGACTCTTACCGTGTTGCGTAACGTTTTATATTTATAAAGGTTTGTATGGGATGTTATCGGTTTACCTTAAAAGAGAGAAAAAAATGTCTTGTTTGGAAATAAAATGGGCTCACTTTATTGCCTTGTTGTTTTCTTTGTTGATTCCGAACGTCTCAGGCCATTTTGAAGCGTTTTCGGCGAGTTAGCGCTATGTTGGTGTTCAACTGCTAAAAGAAAGACAAGGCCGGAAACCTATTTTAGAAGCGTCCGTCGCCCGAAGCGAATAATTCCGCCAAAAAATTTCCACCAGTCTCGATTCCTCCAGAAAATCAAAGCAGAGATGTTGCAGTTCCATTTTCCATTCACTCGATTCACAATTCCTCCCCCAGATCTTTCACTAGCGATACTTTTATCTCCAGATCGATAGGCTTTCCCATTTCGAATTTGGCTGCTTGAAACGATNACAGTGGTCGTTTCAACCAGCCAAATTCGAAATGGGAAAGCCTATCGATCTGGAGATAAAAGTATCGCTAGTGAAAGATCTGGGGGAGGAATTGTGAATCGAGTGAATGGAAAATGGAACTGCAACATCTCTGCTTTGATTTTCTGGAGGAATCGAGACTGGTGGAAATTTTTTGGCGGAATTATTCGCTTCGGGCGACGGACGCTTCTAAAATAGGTTTCCGGCCTTGTCTTTCTTTTAGCAGTTGAACACCAACATAGCGCTAACTCGCCGAAAACGCTTCAAAATGGCCTGAGACGTTCGGAATCAACAAAGAAAACAACAAGGCAATAAAGTGAGCCCATTTTATTTCCAAACAAGACATTTTTTTCTCTCTTTTAAGGTAAACCGATAACATCCCATACAAACCTTTATAAATATAAAACGTTACGCAACACGGTAAGAGTCACGTCCGCTTTTCTCGTAGTGAGCTTGGGCTGCCTGTGGATGAAAGGAATAATATGATGTCACAATGGGGAAAGACGCTGAAAATTGTCGTTGGCTCAGTAGTTGTAGTTGAGCAATGGCGGACGAAATTTAGTGAGTTTTAATCAAAATTTTTCGGACTTTTCTTACCGCGATAGGCCTGAATTGTATTTTTTCTTTTTGTTTAGGATCTAAACTTAAATTGTCGGCATAAAAAATTTGTGTTCAAGAACATCAATTTTCGTCTCAGTAGCACTTTAATGAGGGTCTATTATAGGGGGTCGTACATTCCGTAAATCGCCATATTTTGTTCCTTCGAAACCGCAAACCGCTTTGGTTATTTTCTAAAAACCGACACCGCCCCACAGGTAGGACGATTATCCTCATAACCGATCTTTTAACAGCACGTAGCAAATTCTTTATATCAAATTACCTCCCCACATGGCCGAGGACACAGAGGGAAGCCCTGACTGACTTGGTCTAGCCTGAAAAGGCATCCTTTGTTAAAGAGAGAAGCTTTAAGCAAGATAACGTTACCACTCAGTATTCTGAGCCTCTTAACTCTGTTTGAATAGCCGCCACAAAAACACGTAAAACCGAAAACCGCGAGCTAAATTTATGATTTCCCGCAACCACACGATAATTTCTTAACCGTAAGCCGCCAGATAAGGTAGTTTGGAAAATATAGAATGCTGGAATTCCGTGTCGGAATAACGGAATTCCCGGAATGACCGAAAAATAATAAATTTAAAAAACATAAAAGTAAATAAATAAATAAATAAGAATATTGATGATTAAAAATTAATAGTAAATTCACAACTTAATTAAATAATTTAATGCGAAATTTATCTCAGAGGGTCCCCAAAGAAAAAACACTTACCAGAACTGTTCATGGAGATGCACGTATTAGAATTTAAAAACGTCTGCGTCAGGCCAGTAGCCCATACAGCCTAAGCGACGAAATATTTGTACTCTCCCTTCCCCCTGGATGGGATGCTAGTCCATCACATGCATGGCTACTCCCCGTTTTAAATTCGCCTCCACATATTTACACACCTGTAGGATGTCTAGGGTACAGTGACCATTAAGCCGGCACGCTTTTCCAGCCGGAACCATTGCAGAAGATTAAACAAATGCAATATTTCCAATTAGTTTAATAGTTTCAATTTTAAAAATCTCCGAACTATTACAAATTAATACTCTACCTTAAATAATTATTAACCACACATTGGGAGCTATCAAGGCAGCTACCAGCCGTCTCCAGTTAAAATTGAGAGATCGTCAGTTACTCGACACCTTTTCGCGTTAATTATATATACCTTGAATATATACCTTTGAATATAAACCTTGTACTGATGGATTCTTCT